GTCTGACTTGAAGCCTAGAGTGAATCTCAGCTCTTAGTAAAATATCAACTATAGATTCATTAATTTTCCTTTGGCTTAGTCCCTTATTTGTCAAGGGTCGCCACAGAGGAATGAACCGCCAACTATTCCAGCATATGTTTAGCACAGCGGATGCCCTACCAGCCGCAAGCCAGTGCTGAGAAACACCCACACACTCTTGCATTCACACTTACACACCCAATTTAGTTCATCCAATTCACTTACAGCGCATGTCTTTGGACTGTGGAGGAAACCGGAGCACCTGTAGTAAACCCAACGACCGGGGGAACATGTAAATTCCAAACCGAAATGCCAACTGACCCAGCCGGGACTTAAACCAGCAACTTACTTGCTGTGAGATGAAAGTGCTAACCACTGAGCCACTGTTCCACCAAATATCATCTAATTAAAAAAATATTTTATATTTATTCTTTTATATTAGTATTATTCCAGCTATTCCACATGATAATAATAAATATTTTTGTACATTTTCGTAATTGAGTGTATTAAAGTGAGTTTTCAGTGAGTTTTTTTTTCCTTTTTTTTTCTTTTTTTTTGTAAAATTGATTATTCTCAGTAGCTTTGCTGATTGATGTAATTGATTATTTAACTTATTTTAATTAATACAGTTCAATAAATACTACTTTGATGTATAAATGTTTTGTTACAATATTGGGAGAGTTAAGGGGAAACTTTAAGTTTCATACAAACAATGTAGTTGTAACAATCATCTTAAAATAGTAATTAAAGTTTAATTAAACAGGGAAAAAATCCATGAAAATATTTGGAGAAAATTATAAAATAATAAAGAAAAACGAATGATTTTTAAATATAATATGTTTATTTTTTATTGTCAAATATTATATTTAATTATATTATATTTAATTAATTATATCTATTTAATCATTCTCAAATAAATAAATGATCCAAATGTGCTTCAAATAAATACATAAACATCTGATTAAAATATACAAAAAAAAGATTTTTTTTTAAAAATTCCATTAAAAAAGCATCAAATTAAAATCTATTACATCAAATTAAAAAATAACTATAAAAATAAATTACTAATTATTAAATACAGTACATAAAAAGTAATTGTAACTTTATATATATATATATATATATATATATATATATATATATATATATATATATATATATATATATATATATATATATATTATTTATTAATTTTTGCTTTTTTTTATTATTATTATTATTTTTTTTTTTTACCAAAAACTATAGTCTAAAACCCCATTAAAATGTTTGGATGAGTGTCCTTTGCAGAGTTGCTCTTCATATTTGTGGTCCCCTATAGTGAAAGCCTGAAAACCCCTGATCTAACCAAACCTCAACAAAACTAAGAATTATGACAAGAACAACTGCGCAGAAAAGCCAAACTCTGAAGTGGCCTCTCAAAAGCACAAAAGCCTCTCTCTTCATGCACCTAAAGTATAACCACAACACAGATCAGATGTGGGACATCAGCCATACTATCGAGAGCCCATGTGGTTTCAATCAGCGCTGCTCTCCATTGTGTGTCACAGAGATTTCATAATCACCACTGACTTCGCATTTCGCACTCGCGGTCCCATTGGATTTTTAAGCATAAATGGCTGCGATTCTGTCATCGGTGGACAGGAGGGAGGGTTTCCAGGGGAGAGAGAGAAATATGTTGATTGTTAAATATACTGTTTATTATTTATTGCATTATTATTTATATTTCTAAAAATTTTTATTATTAATTTATATCTGCTATGTACACACACACACACAATTGAAGTCTGAATTATTAGCCCTCCTGTTAAATTGTAATTATTTTCTATTTTTGTCCCTTAGTTCTGTTTAACAGTTCTGTTTTTTCAACACTTCTAAACATACAAGTTTTAATGATTAAACTCTAATAACTGATTTCTTTTATCTTTGCCATAATGACAGTAAATATTATTTTACTAGTTATTTTTGCTGAGTCCAGCTTTGTTTTGGTGGGAGTGTCAAGTGGTGAAAAATGGAAGGGTTTGCACGAAAAGGGGAGTTTTAGTACATGCACACACAAATTTTCACAGAGGCAAAACAAACACAAGGGAGATAGACAGTGACTATGTTAAATGGATAGTTATCAAATTATTTGCCAAATTATTATTTTGTGGACTTAAACTGCAGTTTGGCAATTTCACTTTTATTCAGGAACATTTCATGCATGCCCCCTGTGACCAACAAGATATTGGATGCGAGGAACTGCTGGAAGAGTGTTGTTTTAATGGAATGTTTGATACCGCATCTCATATGAGAGAGAAAAACAACTCAGTTTCTCTGTTACTTAAATGCCCTCGGTAGGTGCAGAGAATAGTATCAGAAAGCCGTGTGTGTATAGACTATCCTGTCACAAAATGCGACGAAAATCCTACACGATGGTAATAGTTAGATTGTGATGTTTACATTCAGAGAGCAGCATTTATAGTGGATCTTTCAGTCCATAATATTGTAGTGATATTAACGTATGTAAACTTAGTAACTTAGAAATCATTTTGGCCCCGTTTACACTGCCAGTTAAATGTGACCCAATTCCGATTTTTTGCTCATATGTGACACAGATCGGATCTGTTCTATGACTTTGTAAAGACGAAAAAAACGCATACATTCGAATATTCAGAGATCGGTTTCAGGCCCCTTTCATATGTGGAAATAAATCAGATATAGATCGGATATGTGACAATGCGACTGTCATGTAAACAGGCAGATCAGATTTACTGAGGCATTCCGTTCTGTACATCATCAAGCTTGCGCAATGTGGTGCTTCTCCGCGGTTTAATGACGTAAGAGGAAGAGTGTATGTGGAGATGCCGACGCGGTAAACAACATCAGAGGAAACACAGAGGAGGCAAGTGGTCAGTCGCCACATTTTGCTCCCACCAGACATGGGATCCTTCTCGTACCCACACATTCCGCTGAATGGTGGAGGGCATCATAAAGCATTTAAACCATAAGAACAGGCTGCGATGATGGCCCTTTCCCACCTCCGCCTCAAAACCGTTTTAAAGTTTTTGTAATGTGTTGTAAACGTGTTGTAACTTTTGCTTTTTGTCGCTATTAATACACCCACTGCGGGCTACACATAGAACAACTTTATTCTCTCCAACACCAGTGCGCACACAGGCAAAGGCTACATCTTCCAACCACACACACACACACACACACATCAGGGCCATGCCATTACATAAACTGCTTGGGGGTAAATCTGGGCTGAACCATTCACTGCTTATTCTACACTTCGCATATTTCGCAAAACTAAAAACAAGACAATTTCTTCCATTGTGGCTAGCAGGTAGCAATCGGCCTGAGCTTGGCTGCCCTCCAGCGCCTCTGGCTCCGACTCTGCATCGGCGAGTGTTATCCGGGCCGAGTAGGGCCCGCAGCTCGCTCGCACACATGCGTTTGTTATACGGCTGTAAAGCACTGGCCCTATTCCTGTAAACCATATCTGGCCTGAGTCTGTGTAAAGTCCGGGCCGCTTCTGGCAAGGACTCGGCTTGTTTAACTGATGACAACCGATTAAATTCTTATTCTATCTAGTAATTTGTCAGCTTCACGTTTAATGACAATTTGAGAAATTATCCACGGTACGACAGCAACAAAATAGGAAGAATATTTTGTGTGGATGGTTAGACGCAAACAAAACAATATTATTTATAAATGGATTATACATATCATCATGGCACAGATGCTAGAACCCGCCTTTATGCATGCGCAACATCGTAAATGGTATGGCAAGTGTAAACCCATGAATTGGATATGGGTCACAATTAAAACAACTTGTAAACAGACAGTCAAACTAATTAGATATAGGCAACAAATCGGAATTGGGCATCAAGACCTGACAGTGTAAACGGGACCTTTGACTAAGTTCTATCTTTAAACACTGAAAGAGTACTGCTGACGACATGAACTAACTTTGCCTTTGAAGAAACATAAAGAACATAGATCGCTCACTTACCAAATCTGTAGGACAATCAACACCAACTGGAACTGTGTCTTTTTTAAAGAAGAGGAGTGGCAAATCTTGATTTCACCATTGCAAGATGCAAAAAGCTCTCGGAAAAATTGTTCTTTACAAACATATTTTTTATGCGTGTTAGCAGACCACTGTAATCCACACGCAAGTCCAGCTGCTCTCTCATATCGGGGAATTGAAAAAAAATCTTCGTTGCAGCACATTTATAAACACAACATTGACGACCCATGTCTCCAAACAATTCTTCCTCTTGTTTCAATTACAGTTGGCAACACAACGTGGCGTTTCTCTGCCATCTGAACGCTGTAACAGGTAAAAACAGTTTTCGAAGCTATCATGCATGTTAATGAAGTTTCACCTAATTCACAATAGAGCGTGCTGATTGGTTTGAACCAAGTCTTTTTCATGAATTAATGCTGAAAACTCAAAGACGTCACGTTGTATTTGCAGGTACAGACAGCACGTCTACAAGCTGGAATTTACACAAGGATCTAATCGCTGTGACGTTGCATCAATTTCTTTTCAAACCGGAAGAACGAATTTTCTTTAAATAATGCAAAAACAAACCAATTTTCACTTTTCAAAAAAAATTGTATGTTTGTGTCCTTATAATGTTTTTGCAGCATGGGACACATATTGACATATATGACTGTTAATCTCAAAAATGTGTTTTGGAGTTTTGTGACCCTTAAAGTGGTTTAACATGAAACAAAAAAGTTATTTAAAAAAACAGCAAGAAGTGTGTTGATTCAACTCTTTAAATAAGTAGTTTGAACAAGCAGCAAATTGATTTTTGCACATAGCTAGCTTAGCTGCACCAAAAAAAGAACATTATTCTTTTATTTATTAATACCAAATTTGAAGTATATACTTTTGTTTGTTTAATGGATTGAGGGAGGGTTTTAGATGGGAGGGAATTAGAGAGAGAGAGAGAGAGAGAGAGAGAGAGAGAGAGAGAGAGAGAGATTGTGTGTATGCGTTTGTTTTTGGGGATTCAGGAGTGCGCACTGGCTCCCCTCACTCCAAACTCGCTGCATCTCCCTTCCAAGAAAACTCCTCCAGATTTCAGGAAGCCTCCGGATTGCTTTGATTGGATGTACCGACAAAATATTAAAAACCATTTCGGAAGAAGGATAGAGGGAGTTTAGCTTGTTTTTATCAGCGCGAAAGGAGGCAAAGCGCCGTTACGAGTCGACTCGAGAGATTTATCCGACACTTCTGGAAAAGCGGCGCTCTGCTCTTGCGTTATGGATCGATAGTACGAAACTTTCTGGGAGTGAGGAGAAAACTCCTGTAGAGCCCGAGAAACGCCGTCTGTGTGGAATAAAAAGAGAGTTGAGGGCTGATAAGTCGTTTTAGACGCCGTTTCAGTGATGGATGGAGCAGTTGTGTTGATATCGGTGCTGGTGCTGGGTTTGTGTGGAGGTGTCTGGAGCGCCTCGTATCCTCAGCAGTATAACCTGTACACGGGCACACAGACGCAGAATCAGCCCTTAAACGGGGCGAGGGCGGCGAGCAGACACAGGTAATGGCTCATTTAGTTCATTCACTCACTTTTAAGTGTATTTCTGGTCATATGATGAGGAAAAATTATAGCAAGGACATCTGTGTTGTGAAATATGGAACCTGTTTACATAGAAGTACCGACCGTAGTGTTACTTTATCAAACACTTGGGTCCAATGTATTAACGGTTAATGGATGGATGAGCCATGGTGCTTGGATAGATTTGAATATGAACTTGGTCAATTGGTACTATGTTTATATTTTAAATCTGTAAAGTTTCAGCTTCCTATGTTCCGGCACAGTATTGATGGATGGATAGATGATGGAGAGTGTATTGTACTTTTTATTTAGTACCAAAGTATTACTTAATGGTAGCATAATTCTGGTTCTATCAAGGTTCTGGTACAAATATAGAAAGATATACAGTACAGCTAGATGAGTGCCATAGTACTATTGTATTGCCTTATGTCATTGGCTCCACCAAAATATTCATACATATATTGATAGATGGATGAACATTGTTCTGTTTCCTTTTGTAAAGTACCATAGTATTACCATATGACACCATAAATCTGGTTCTATCATAGCTCTGATGTATATATGGAGAGATATATGAGGTAAATAGATGAACAGATGTGCCAAATATCATAGTATTACCTTATGATTTCTTCATTGGTTCCACCATATTATTTATACATATATGGAAAGATATTATGCTATTTTTAAGTACAATAGTATTACCTTATTATACTATCATTTTCTTCCATGGATGGATGGAGACTGTTTTTGTAGAGTACCATAATATTACATTATGATAGCCTAATCATGGTTCTATCAAAGTTTTGATTCATAGAGATATATACAGTACATAGATGAGCATATGTGCCATAGTACTATAGTATTACCTTATGATACCATCATTGGTTTCTACAAGGTATTCATACATATGTTGATAGATGGATGATACATGGTGCTATTTTTTGTTTTTCGTAAAGTACCATATATTACCCTATGACACCATAATTCTGGTTCTATCAAAGCTCTGATGTGTGTGTGTGTGTGTGTGTGTATATATATATATATATATATATATATATATATATATATATATATATATATATATATATATATTAGGGATGTAACGGTATCAGAATTTCACGGTACGGTAATACCTCGGTATGAATGTCACGGTACGGTATTTATTGAATCATTTACAGGAAAAAACAAAACTTATGAAAATACTCCAAAAAAGTGCCAAAAGTGTCAATGACATACAAATTAGCCATCTATCTGTAAGCTTTGAAACAGGAACTTCAATTTTAATAACAAAAAATTATTAAACCATGTAAAAACAATAAAGTTTCAATTTAGTATTGTTGAAAACTCATCACATTCAACATTTAATCACACTCAGCCCATCTACCCAGATGAGAGCTCTGCTAGTCGGACTTCTCATCAAGCATCTCCCGCTGGATCTAATCTCACTATATTTATTAAACGGGATATTTCATTTATCTTGTTGTCTTTATCTAACGACATATTCCCTGACTTTGGTCATTGGAATCTATTACTTGTTCTCAGGTAACGTGTTTTGGCTGAGCGCAAAGATAAGTTAATGATTAATGTAACCACGTAGCCTACATTCTGTATATTGACTGATCGCTTGCCTTTATTTCCTATAATGTATAAACTTATTGTATGTTATACTTTTATAATTATCGATTATTAAAACTGATATTCAGCAAAAGAGAGGGTGTGTTTCGTATTTTCACTGAAATTGAAAGGAGGCAGTTGTTATCGGCTCCGTTTTGTTATAAATATCCACACAGTGAAGATGACGCTCATATATGCAGCAAGACGCCTCAACATTTCTGCTGTCTAAGTTGCTAATATTAAAATGAAAATAGGCATTTCCTTAAATCATGTTTACATTTTATTGTTGATAAAGTGAAACAACGAAGCCAGGGTGATGTGAATGAAGTTATAAAGTACACTGTTCCCTTTGAAGATTTACCCGTGTCCTCGGTATAGTCTGCTTTTCCATATCAAACTGAGAAGAAGAGACTGCAGCCTTGATCAAACTTGCGAAGTCTGAACTTACACGGAGATTATGCATGACTGAACTGTGCGTGTTAGGCTACTTAATATTCAGGAAAAGCCCCAATCAGAGAGGCGAACGTCTGCAGCCCCGCCTCCGTTTTCAGACGTCTCCGTTTTCCATTATCCACACAGACATTATCCACACATTTCGAAACGCTCCGTTTTCGGCGCTCGAGAACTCCGGCGTAGTGTGGACGGTTGGCGTAACCGTAGCAAAACTTATGCGTTTTCAAACGAAAACGCATTAATGTAAACGGGGCCTTAGAGTTTTCCAGCTCTTTTCATCCCCGCTTCTAGCAGCACACTCCATTTCCGCATTACTGGATCTGTAGCGACAACAGACCGCAAGGGATGATGGTCAAGCATGGGCTGATGGGTATTGTTGTTTTCGCTACCTCCCGTTCGCTTCATTCGCCTAAGCAAATTTTCTCAGAAGACCTATAGTTTTACCGAGTCATGCGACTTCGGTAATATCGAAAAAAATTAATATTGCGGTATGACGGTATTTACAATACCGTTACATCCCTAATATATATATATATATATATAGAAAGAGAGAGAGAGAGAGAGAGAGAGAGAGAGATAAGGTAAATAGATGATAAGATGTGTCATATACCATAGTATTACCTTATGATAGCATCATTGGTTCCACCTTAGTATTTATACCTGTATAGATAGATATAATGCTATTTTTAAGTACAAGAGCATTACCTTATTATACCGTCATCCACCATGGATGGATGGAAGATTGATTCATACATGAACTTGGTAATTTGGTACTATATTTATGTTTTAAATCTGTATAGTATTAGCTTCCTTGTGATATCAAATCTTTGTTCCATCACAGTATTGATAGATGGAGGGTAGTGTATGGTACATTTTTTTATTTTTTTTTTGTAGAGTATCATAGTATTACTTAATGATAGCATATTTCCGGTTCTATCAAGGTTCTGGTACATATATAGAGAGATATATAGTATAGATATATAAGCAGATATGACATTATAGTACTATAATATTACCTTATGATACCATAATTGGTCCCAGTGTAGTATTTATACATGTATGAATGGATATGGTGCTCTTTTTAAGTACAAAATTATAACCTTATTATACTATCATTTTCTACGATGGATGGATGGATGGATGGATGGATGGATAGATAGATTGTTCAATAACAAGTAGTAGTAACAAATTAAGAGTATTACCTTATGATACTTGATCGATAGGGCAACAGAGAGATAATAAATATCTATTTTTAAGAATTACCCTATGATACTAGCACTTTGTTTCCACCGTGGAATAGGTATATATATATAAATAGACAGATTGCATTACACAGAGGGAGTGCCAGCTGACAGACAGACCGGCAAACAAACAGAGAGAATACTTTATAAGTCCCGTCAGGGAAGTTACAGATGTTATGCATTTTTTCTATAATCCATTTATTGAGGGGAAACATAACCTGGGGCTGCTTTAAAAAGCAAATGTGCTTTTAAATGTGTGGCACAGATGACTACATGAAAGCCAAAGCCTCTTTTAATCCAACAGTGAAACGACAGGAGGTGCATTGCTGTCCATCCGAACCGCTAATTATCACTTACTGAATGCAAGGTTGTGCTTAAGAAGAAGGTTTGTGGGACCCCAGATTTTCCAAAGCTTTTCACTGCTCTGGTAGTGATTATACTGAAAGTGCCTACCTGTACCTCTTCATCTGTCAATCAGTGGATTTATACAATGCAATGCTCGCTCTCACCAACACAAACCGCTCTGAAAGTGTTGTTTTGACTGTGAATTTGGGGTGTGAACAGGAGACTCTGTCCTTGCTCTGACGTACATACAGGGGCTTCCCTCTTCTTTTGACGCAGTGCATTCTTAGACACGCAAACCAGATGCTGATGGTCAGATCTGTCTAAATCCATCTAAACAATGAGACCAGATTAGTCAAACGAAAACAGTTTGTGCTTATGAATAGCTCTCAGATATAACGCAACCCCTTTGGTAGTAGTAATAGTAAAAGGTGACGTCTGCGACGTGAAAATGTTCAGTGCCAGCAGTATGAAGTATGTTGTTGAGAAATCTGAGTCAAGTTACTGGGGATTAGCAGCCGTTTGAACTTTTAGCTACAACAGATGTAAAAAGTATTCTTATTTTATTGAACGTGAAAGAGTAGGAGGAAAGGAGGGGAAAGTGTGAGACTGAAATCAAGGGGAGAATTTGTGCTTTTTAATGTGGCCAGCTCATCTTTTCTCTTGTGGCTTTTTTCCTCCTCTAGTCTCCTAAATGAATGGACTGATAGCTTTTGACTCGTGTTGCACGCATCAAATGTGCATTTCCAGGGAAAACCGCGAGCCCTAATCAAATTTATCAAGGAATGTGTGCGCCTCAAATTTAGTGGAAATTTTATGCTAAAAGATTCTGAAAGATGAACTTTGCAAGAACTGGATATGCACAGCTGCCAAATATGCGAGCACCTCTTTTCTCTAAATTGTAGGCATTTGGGAAGGAAAGCTGCCAGGTTTTTGTGTGTCGGAATAAATCTCCTGATATGATTTTTTTGAGGCGTGTTTATCTACAAAATCCAGCACTTTAGGAGGATGCAGTGTTGGTTGGATGGTTATAATATTCAGAAAATATGATACTGATGTACTCCAAAAACTAGCTGAACTCCCTAGTTTTGGATTTGGTCTGGATATTGGATGAGTACGTCTTGACAGGTTTCCAGATGGCCTTCTAGTTATTTTGATAAATTTTAGATTGGTTTTAATCATCTTAATTTTTATCTAAGGTGAAAGAAAGACATCAGTTTTTTTTTGTGTACACATAAATAAATTATTTTATTGTATAAATATATATTTAATTATATAAAAAAGTTTTTTATGAGTTTGTATATACATATAAGCTATGTTAAATGCAAGTTA